CACTTGGAGCACAGTGCTCTTCCAGGGATTTGAAGGATGTTTGGTGCTCTCAAGTTTTAGGCTGAAGATGCTGGGTCAAGGTGGAACTTCCCTCTCCTCAAACCCTGTTTATTTGCATGAGTCTCGCTGAGCCCAGGCCCAGGAGCTCTGCCTGGTTTCTGTGGGTGGCTCCAGCACAGCACAGCAGCCCCAACCCCCTCGCTGTGCCTCTTTGGGTGCAAGCTCTGGAACATCACGTGGAGCTCTGCTGCTCTGTGGGCTTCTCTTCTCTGCCCCCCTTTGCTGGGCCACTGCTGAGCAGAGGCCAGGAGAGGTGTTTGTGCTGTGCTTGGGTCACACTTTTGTTTGGCTACCCAGAAAACGAGGCTGTGGCTGTAGCTGAGCTCTCTGGTGGGGCTGCTTTCCTGCCCTCAGCTTGTACAACCAAAGGAAGGCATTTCTGCTTTTTAATCGTTTTTTGTAACGGTTTTTGGGGTGTTTCATAAGCCACTTCCCCTTCCCTCTTGCTGAAATGTTGCCTCAGCTGCCAGAGCAGCAGTGGTGGGGCTGTGGGGCCAGGGCTGTGCTGCTGTCCCCTGGCCATGTGTCACCAGCTGCTCTGTTTGGTGGCACCAGGGCTTGAATCCAGAGTTTCAAACAAAACTCAAAATAGGATTCATTTATGGTTCTAGGGGGCCTGATAGGCTTGGAAGCCATTGAATGCTTTGGGATGGAAGGGAAATTAAAGCTCACCTCATTCCACCCCTGCTGTGGCAGGGACACCTCACACTGTCCCAGGTGCTCCCATCCCTGTCCAGCCTGGCCTTGGGCACTGCCAGGGATCCAGGGGCAGCCACAGCTGCTCTGGGCACCCTGTGCCAGGGCCTGCCCACCCTCCCAGGGAACAATTCCTTCCCAAAATCCCATCTAACCCTGCTCTGTCAGTGTGAAGCCATTCCCTGTGTCCTGTCACTCCCATTCCTGAGGAACAGTCCCTCTCCTTTTTTTTTTTTTTGTGGCACTGGAAGGCCCCAGTGAGGTCACCCCAAAGCTTCACTTCTCCAGGCTGAACAGCCCCAACGTTCTCAGCCTGTCTCCATTCCAGCTCCCACTGATTGTCTGACACCACCAGGAGCACTGCCTCGAGCCTGCCTGTTCTGTGTTTGTTTATTGATGCAGGGAGCTCAGGCCAGGTTCATCAGGAGGCAATTAATCATGATGTAATCCCTGGGAATCATGTGAGGGAGCAGTGCCACAGAGCAGGAGTGGGGTGGGGCAGGGCCAGCTATCACCCCTCCAAATGCAGCATCCCTGGGACCTCCTGGCTCCTTGTGGGGCTCTAACCTGGTGATATCTGAACCATCAGCTCTCCTGCCGTGGGGACAGGGCTGGCAGGGAGGAGAAGAAGAGCTGACACCAAAAATGTGGTGGCTTGATAGCCTGTGAAGGATGGCCCCGTGGTCTGGGGAGGTGCTGGGTGCAAAGGAGCTCGGATGAGGCCCTTGGGGGCTCTCAGTTCTGCTTTTTGTGCCAGTGAGAGTTCAGGGAGGGCTTTCCTCTGCCTCACCTAGAAACTGGCCGTCCTGAACTGTCCAGCCTTCCGCTGGTGGCTTCTTTCAGGGCTTAAAATAGCTCCTGTGTTTGTCACACTGGATTTCACAATAGCTGCGGGGTGAGTCACAGGCAGAGGCCAAAGAGCCACTTCTGTCACCTGAGCAGGCACCTCTCACCCCTCCGATCCATAATCCCAGCAGCGCTTTCCCCCTGTGCCTTCCAGGAGCAATCCTGCTCATCCCCGATCTCCTGGCATTCCCAGGGGTTGGGAGCAGGGCCAGCACCCGCTTTGCTCCAGGGTTCTGCAGGGAGATCCCTTCCCTTGTTTCCTGCTCGGCTCCTGGCGTGGCTCTCTGTCAGTGGTTTACTGAGTAACTTTTATGTGACATTTGTGGAATGCGCATTCCAGCCCTGTTCCTGCACCGACCTGTCACCGTTGACTTGCTCAGGGGCTGCTGGTGGCCACGAGGGGTTTTTGGGGTTTAAATGACTGTAATGAACCCCTCTGGAGTTCAGCAGCACCCTCTGGGCACTATGCTGGCAGCTCAGTGCCTGGATTTTTTTTTGGTTTTGGTGCTAATTAACACCCCAAGGACAAATTATCCATGGGATTGAAATGTCCAGGAGTGGAGGAGCTAAAAGATGGAACTGGCATCCAACAGTTTCTTGGAGTTTTATTCTGGGAGGCTGCTGGGATAGGGCTGTAGCCTGGTGTCAGGGCTGGGGGACAAGCAGATGAAGAGAAAGACAGAAGATCCTTGGAATTTCAAAGCTTTCATGACGCCCAGGGTGATTTGCTGGGCTCAGTTCAGGATTGCCCGTGCCAGGCACTGGGCATCTCCCTCTGCCTTGTGTGGTAGGAACAGGACAGCTGGAATTTGGGCCCAGAGGGGCCATGGACACCTCAGGGAGGGATGAAGTGTCCAGCCTGTACCAGTGTTGGTCCTCCCAAAGCTGCTGGGTGGGGTAGCCAGAGTCTTCTCTGCACTACAGGGGAGATCATTTTCCAACACCCCCTGCTCACCCCATGATCTCCTTCCTACTTCAGCTTCTTCTGCCATCCTAAGGGTCAGTTTTGTCCCTTCTGGGAAGTGCCCTTGGTTGCAGCAGTGACATTATGACAGGGTCATGCTCACCCCATCCCTGTGCCACCCCTGCCCGTGTCAGCCTGCTGCCTCCACAGTGCTGCTGGTGATGTCCTGAGCTGATTTTTCCTTGGAGATGCTGCTCTCATTTCCTCTGGGGTGCCCAAGTTGTGACCTCCCTGTGTCAGCTGGGGGGACGTGGGACATAGAAAGTGTTCCCTTTGGAGCTCAGGGACATGAGGAAGGGTGGGTGAGCACCATTCAAGGGAAATTTAGGTTGGATATCAGGAAAAAGTTTTTTCCAGAAAGGGGGATAAAGTTCTGGAATGGCTGCCCGGGGAGGTGGTGCAGTCCCCATCCCTGGGTGTGTTTAACAAAGCCTGGAGGTGGCTCTGGCTGCCAGGGTTTAGTTGAGCTGTTGGGGCTGGGTTGGACTCGATGATCTTGAAGGTCTCTTGCAACCTGGTCATTCTGTGATTCTGGGTGTGATTCTGTGTGATTCTGTGAATTCTGTGGACACTTGCTCCGGCCAGCTCAGCGTGGGGCAGGAACGCAGAGGTGACTCTGTCCTGGCCTCCTGTGAAGCTGGGCACCAGGCAGCCTCAGGTGGGCTCCCAGCTGGGCACTGGGCTGCTGACCCCCGGCATGTGGCAATAACAGTGAGCCAGGCCAGGCTGGGCTGTGGTCCCTGCCCAGCACAATCTGCAGCCTGGATTGCAGACCCTGACCCCCAGCCCAGCTCCGTGCTCTGCTCCTGGGTTTTTCCAGGTGCTGCTGGGCCCCAGCATCCTGCAGGGGCTGAGCTGGCAGGGCCCCTGCCGGTGGGAAGCAAACCTCCAGGAGAAGCCCCACCTCTTCTCACAATATTTACTTCCCCTCCTTGGAGCTCTCCCAGCTCTGTAAGTGCAGAGCAAACACAGTGGGGCACTTCTGGCTCCCGTTTGGAAGGGCTGAGCTTCTCCCCGTGCTCCTTCCACGCGTCCCCCTGCCCTGCCCTCCGTGTGAGAGCATCTGGTGGTGGCTGGGTGAGAACCCAGCCAACCTGAGCTACAGAAACCCCCTAATTTCTCCTGAAACCCCCTAATTTCTCCTGAAAGCAGCAGGAGCTGCTGGCCTGTGTTTGGGCAGCCAGCCCAGATGGAAATGGATTTGTCCCCTGTGGTAAGGACACGGCTGTCCCTGCCAGCTCCTGGAATGCAGCAACACTTCAAAACACGGCAGAGATCCCTCATTTCCCTCCCTCTGCTGAATGATTTGCCCAATATTCCTTCCTGCCCTCCCCAGCCTGTCCCTTGGTACATGGTGATAGTGTCACCCAAGCTGTGGGAAGCTGTTCAGAGGGGTTTGTGGTGTTTACAGCAGGAATTAATCCTCCTGTAAGCTCCCCTGCAGGTTTTCCAAACACAGAGATGTAAACTGCAGAGTGGGAAGAAAGGTCACAAGCAGAGCTTGGCTGGCTCCTCCAAGATTTCCATCCACAGTGGGAATTGTTTCCCTGGGGGAGAGGAAGCCTGGGGTGGGGGAGATGGCAGGAAAAAGGGGGAGGAGGTGGAATTGTGTCAGTGGGGAGCAGTGGGTGAGCTGTAGGGAGCTCTGTGCTGTGATCTGCTGACTCAATGAGCTTCTGGGAATGTCTGGATGCTCCTGAGTCAGCAGCTTCTGTCTCACCCCTCTGCCACGTGTGACACATCTCCTGGTGACGCTGGACTGTGAATTTTACAAAGTCACAGAATCACTGAGGTTGGAAAAGGCTTTCAACATCATCAAATCCCAGCTGTGCCCCATCCCCCCCTTGTCCCCAGCCCAGAGCCCCGAGTGCCACCTCCAGCCCTTCCTGGGCCCCTCCAGGGATGGGCACTCCAAACCTCCCTGGGCAGTTCCAGTGCCCGAGCACCCTTTCCATGGGGAAATTCCTGCAATGCCCACCTTGAGCCTGCCCTGGCCCAGCCTGAGGCTGTTCCCTCTCCTCCTGTCCCTGGGAGCAGAGTGCCATCCCCACCTGGCTGCACCCTCAGATAGATCTTGGCTGGATTATCTGACACTCAGGATTTCTAGTAATTCACCTGTGGTATCATCAGAGAGCTTCTGCTTTGAGGTTTCCTTGCTTCCTTTTTTATCCCCCATGCTACAAACAACAGGCTGCATCTCCTTTCCTAAAAGTTTGCATCTCCCTGTGATGGGAAGTGGTTTGGGCTTTGGAGCCTGGAGGGAGGAAGGGGGATCCAGCCTCTCTGAAGCTGTGGGCAGCTTTAGGAAGCAGAAATGCCCCTGCATATTTCCCTCCTGGTGAGATGGCTGAGCAGCCAAGCTGAGCAGGAATTGGACCAGCAGGAATTTTGTGCTCCTCACTTTCTCTGGACTCACCCCGGTTTTTCCCTCCAGGCCAAGAACAAGGAAACGGGAGCTTTGGCAGCTGCCAAGGTCATCGAGACCAAGAGCGAGGATGAGCTGGAGGATTACATGGTGGAGATTGAGATCCTGGCCACCTGTGACCACCCCCACATCGTCAAACTGCTGGGAGCCTTCTACTGGGATGGCAAACTCTGGGTAAGGCTGGGATGGGATGGGATGGGATGGCAAACTCTGGGTGAGGCTGGCCCAGGTGGGATGGGACATCCTCACCCTGCTCAAAGGAAAGGGCTGTTCATGGTGAAGCAAAACCTCTGGAGCTGCTTGAACATCAGAAATGAGTCATGACCTCACTTTGTGCTCAGGGTCTGGATTTTCCCTGCTGTCTTTATCACCAAACTCTCTTCTAACTAAAGCTGCTGGTAAAAACCCAAGGGATTTCACAGGGAAGTTGGAGTTCTGTTTTTCCACCATTAAGGGTTTGTAAAGGTAGAAAAAGCATCACCAATAAGTTCCCCTCTCTTTTAAAACACAACCTGGAAGGGTGACTCTTCCAAGTGATTTTCTGGATTTGGGGCTCAGCACTTGCAGTGCAGAGGCACCAAGAGCTCCGTTGTGGAGGTGCAGGGCCATAAAATGCAGTGGAGTGGGTTGGTGAAGGGCTGGAACAGCAGGTTCCTGCAGCTCTCTCCCCTAGCCCAGCAGGTTTATATATGATTTTTTATTTCCCCTGCCTGCTGCTCTCTCTGAGTGCCTGGCAGCACAGGTAGCTGAGCGTGAAAGGCACCTTCCTGTGCTCTGTGCAGGGCATGGAGAGGCTGAGGGAGTGAGCCCTTGGATACTCACCTCTGTGCCTGGGTGAGGATTGTGGAAAGCAGGTGAGCAGGAGGATTTCCAAACCCTCCTTCTCAGTTCATCTGTTCCTCCTTGAACTGCAGGAGGTCAGGAGAGTGGCAAAGCGTGCATTCAGCAGCTCTGGTGCTTCTTCCTTCCTGTTTTTAAAGTTTCAGGTACCTTTGTGGTCTCCCTGAGTAAATTTAATAGAGTTAAAAAAGAGATCTCAGCTTTTGGGACTTGCCCTGGTGTGAGCTGAGCTGTTGGAGCTGCCAGTCCCTGCCTGTGGTGCTGAGGGCTGAGCTGGGATAACACAATCCCAGTCTGGCTCATTCCCGGGTCCAGCAATGCAGGAGAGGGATGTTTTATTAGGCTGATTCAGCAGGCACCTTTTGCATTGTCAGCACCTGTTTTCTTTTTAAAAAATCCATGGCTAAAGCCCCTGAGCTCTCTGGGACACCCAGCTTGGAGTGCTGGAGTGTTTCTGCTCTGGTCTCGAGGGAGCTGAGTTGTCCACTTGGTATTTTGGATGGATTCTGAGCCCTGGCTATGTTAAAGAACAAGGTAAATATGTACTCTGCTAAGAAAGGGAAGGACAAACATCCCTCCTAGGAGGGGACTTGGGATCTGGATGGATTGCAAGTGCAGCAGGATTAATCTGGGCCAAAGTAAAAAGGCAAACACACCCTGAGCTGGGGTGAGAGATGAGGCTGCCTTATCTGCCACCCTCTTCTCCTGGCTTCACCTCCCTGCTCTGCCTGCACCCTCCACGTGGGCCCTGCTCCTGCTCTGAAATGTCAGCCCCCTCCCCTCTTCCCACCCCCTCCCTGCCATGGGAAGCTTTGCCTTCCTTCCTTCCTTCCTGGAGGAAAAGGGATCGAAGAGTTCCTTTGTCCAGGGAGGGCTTTGTCATGTCAAGTGCTCAGGGACCTGCTAAAATTAAACTCTGCAACAAGAGCCTCCTGTCTGGGGCTCCCCCACCAGGGCAGGACCTGGGGCTCTGTCAAACCCACCCTACAGCCCCAGCCCTTGTTCTGGGAGCAGGATCCTTCTTTTTATTTCATTATTAGAGTAGCATTTGCATTTCACTGCTCAGGCTGGTTTTATTAATGCTCCAGTGTTTTCCTGGCTTGGAGGGGAGTCATTAAGCCAGGCTGTTTTACTTCTGCAAGGCTTTCAGTCCCTACCAGATTTTCCCTGAAGTCAAAACCTTCCCCTTCTTGGTGACCAGTGCTGCTGGGGAAAATTTGCATCCAAATATAAACAGAAGCTTTTATTGTTCTGCCCACATCCCATCCTCATTTCTGTCTGTGCAGTTTTTGAACCAGCATTTTCCTGGATCATTTGCATGGTGGGTGTCTGGATTCCCAGAGTGGCTCTGGATAAAACCTCTGGGGGTGCCTGTCTGCTCAGGAACCTGCTGTGGCTTCCTTGCTCCTCACAGCCCAGCATGGAAAGAGAATATTCCAAGTGAGTAGAATATTCTGCCCAGCATGGAAAGAGAATATTCCAAGTGAGCAGAATTTTCTGCCCAGCATGGAAAGAGAATATTCCAAGTGAGCAGGTCCAGATGTGCCCAAGCTCCTGGGTGGCAGCAGCTCTTTGGCTCTTGAATAATTCACAGTGCCACAAGCAGGCTTGGCCTGAGAAGAGCTCTTCCTAAATGACTCTGGTTGTTCTTTCCTTGAGTTCACAAGGGAAATGTGTGAGGAACCCTGGCCCTCCTGCTCCCCCTGAGCTGTGTCAGGTCCCCGTGGCTTCTCTGCCAGGCTCTGGCTTTGTGCTCCAGCAGCCAGGAGGGGCCATGAAATATTTATGGAGCACAAGACCTTTCTGTGCAAGGGGAAGTGGCTCATCCTCCTGCAGCTGCTCAGAAATCCACAGCACTGGAAGGAAAGCACAAGCCAAAGAGTTCCTCTGGGTTTTATACCTGGTTGGTATTAAGTGTACAAGGAGGAAACCCCCAGTTCTTGTGTGGGATGGAGCAAAGCCCACTGTGAGCAAGGGTTGGGAGAACCCCAGTGAGTTCCCAGGAATAAATCTGGTGGGGTAACAGCGTCCAGCATGAACTTTCCTGGCATTTAAATGCTCTGCAGAGAGGCTGTGCCCTGCCAGCAGCTCCTGTCTCATTCCATCCCCCTCCACCTCCTTTTCTTTGCTCGTGGCAGAGGCCAAGAAGTCTTGTGCTGCTTGAAAACAGCTCAGGGAAGCTGCAGAACTGCCCTGGTGGGAGCTTTCAGGATTTTATTTTATTTTTATTACAAGCCCCGTGGCATTTCATGTTCTTTTGCATAAATCCTGGCTGCTGGAAATGGGGGCACCGAATGAAAGCTGAGATTCTCATGCTTTCTTTTAAAGAGTGTGGTTTGAGTCCTTGTGGCTGGGACACATTTTAAAGTCTCTTTTCCTGCACTGTGATAGAGGACTTGGAAACACAGAAGCAAATCCCCCTCACCCAATATAACACAGCTTTTAAAATGGACTTTTAAAAGTTATTTGTGGCTTAGGAATGGGACTGAAATTGGGTTTGCTTGCTTTGAACAGAATTTTCACTGATAATTATTACAACATGGGAAAGGAAAACAACAGCTCTTGTGTTTTGTGTCCCTCTCGAGGGCTGCGTGTTTGGGAGTCTTTTTTTCCCCCTTTCACAACAACAACAAAAAACCAGACTGAGACCTCAGAGGAAGGGAGGAACTTTTGATCTGCTGCTGCTGAACCCCTCTGCTGTTTCCGAGTGTCTCCTCCCGCAGCCAGAGCAGTGATAAGACAGAGGGGAGGAGAGTTTTGTTTGCTGTGAAGATCCTGACCTTTCCTGCAGGAAACCTCTGCTCCCAGGGGATGGTGGCTGTGCCCAGCCACCCCAGCAGCATGGCAGGAAACCCAGGAGCCTGAGATGCTCCAGCAGAGTCTGCAGGAATCTCTAGAAATTCATTAAAATCTCATTTGGCACCAGGTGTTGAAGCACTGTGCTGGTGGTGGGACAACTTTTCCAGGGAAGCCCTGGGGAATTGTCTCCCCCTCCCTGCTTCTCCCTGCCCCACGGTTGCCATGGCAAAAGGGTTTTTGAATAAACAGCCGTTTCCTGGAGATCAAAGCAGGGATTGCTGCGCAGTGCAGGTAACCCTGCCTGCCTGGGCCATGGGGGAATGGTTCATTTAATCAGCTTAGGGTTTCTCCTGTGTGGGTACAGACTCCTACAGCTGGCACAGAGATTCCAACTCTGTGCTGCTCTTTGTACTCGCCTTAAAAAAAGCCCTTTGCATTTTCTGTGGGCAGGCCCTGACCTGTTCAGCCAGGGACTTTTGGGATTGCTCCCCCTTTGATATGGATGTTGACTGGAGATTTGGGCATTCTTGAAAATCCTGTAGCATAAAGAAATGTTCATTATCCCATGCACTCGACTGCTGGGCTATGTAAAGCATCTGCAGCCTTTGGTTCTCTGAGGCTGGCAATACCTTTTCTTTAAAACAAACAGAAAAGGGAGCTGGTAGCAGGCTCAGATTCCCCACAGCTTTCCTTAGCAAAGGGAGGTTATCACAACTTGCAGGGATGTCTTGCAGGGTGAGCAGCCTGAGCTTGGCTGGATGCCTGTGGGGATCTGTTTGTGTGAATGCTGGACCAGAGCAGGCTCTCCAGGCTGCTCAGCCCTCAGTCCCTGAGGAATCCCATGGCTCTTTGTGTCCCTTTAAAGCTCCACTTGGCAGCAGAGCTGCAGCCCTTCCTACTTGGCCTCCTGCTCCTGGAGCTTTGTACCAAACTTCCCCCAGAAGTTCTTGAACTTTGTTGTTCGCGGCTCGCGGGACTCGAGCGTAGCCGAGGGAAAACCCAGGAAAACAAAGAGATCCCAAACTCTGCTAAACAGCTCACCAGCCTCCTGGAGGAACAACAATCCCTTCCCTTGCTCCTTGTTCCAGCTGCAGGAACACAAATCCCAATCCCTCCCGGATTTGGCAGTTCCCTGGGACACGCAGGGCTCGGGAGCTGCTGCAGGATCAGCCCCGCTGGGAAAAGCAGCGTGGGGGTGGGGTTTGCTGGACCGGTTTCCAAATTCCTACCAGTCCAGAATTCGGGCAGAACTGCAAAACACCCCCAGGAACTTCAGCGGGGTGGGTAGGAGAGGAGCAGGTGTGGGCAGATATCAGCATGCATCGGGACATGGCATTGCTTGGCCCTGGGAGCTGGGAATGCAGCAGGGACATCACAGTGTCCCCTCCCTGTCCTGAGGGGCAGCTCCTCAGCTTGGCCAGAGCTGCAAAGTGGAAAAAGTGATGCAGCCCAGTGGCTTTTTGGCACTTTGCTGCATTTCCAGGGTCAGCAGTTTGCTGTTCAGAGTAGCATAATTGAAGTGGGTGGTCACTCCT